ATTATGATAACAAGACCACAAATTTTTCAACGAAATTACCAAAAGCTATAAAATTAAAAGGTGAATGGTTGGTTGGTTGGAGTTGTCGAGTTTCAATATCCATGTACCATGTTTACTGTACAAGATCATGAAAATGTAATATACATTACAAAATCCACGTTAATGCCTAATGAATATAAGCTATCCACAGTGTAATACAAAAACATATTCCAGCTACCAACTATGATAACGTTGAGTATTTTGATAAAATAATTAAAATAGATAAGTTTATATCCAAGTACACGGAAAAAATTAAATTGGATTGGACAGTTTTCGTGACTTTTTAGTATTGTTTTTTAAAATTAAATCGAAATATTTTCGTAATTTAGGCTTTACTTTGCATTAAAAGATTATATGTTCTATTGTAATGTCGCTTAAAATAAAGTATTTTAGCTTGTTATAATGGTTATAATGGAACTGAAAGATAACTCTGACGAATATTTTCGTAAAACGCTATGGAGGGATTGTATTTGCTCTAAAAAACCGTCATTAAAAACTATGATTTTCCACTGTAGTGCACTAATTAAAGACTTCATCTTTCTAATGCTGTAATTTTTTCCAAATATCTGCTCACATCGTTTCGATATCGCCCTTGCAAAATCCTAAAGCATGAAGTTTTCGATGCAAATCGAGCTGATTAGCTTTTGGAATAGATCGTTACATCGGTTTAAAAGTTATTCCAAAAGAAAAAACACGGGTTTTAAAATTTTTTGAGATTTCTCAAAATCTATCGGTCCAAATCGGTTGAAACAGTACCTATTAAAAATCTAAAATTGGTAAAACCCTTTCGAACGCCTCCAAGTTCGTTGAAATCGGCCAAGCCGTTCAAAAGTGAGGATTCGTTCAAAAGGAGTGAAACCAATAACTTCCCGAGTTTTTGAAAATCGTTGATTTTCATAGCGGGGAGTTAAAAACATTATTGTTGGTTTTTTACGCGGTATATTGTACTCATAAGTGCGTCATTGTATTTCTTATACGTTTTAGTTGTACATGTTACGTTATTTTATCTAATTGCTGTGAACGAATCGTCAAATCACAATAAGTGAATTTATGACCTAATAACGTTGATAATTAAAAATAAAGATTGACATATTATATGATTGAAATTTGGCACGGTTATAGGTATGCTACAAGAATATAGTAGTGTTTTTTTTTTATATTTGCATTAATATGCAAAATTGCATTAAGCGTAAGTAGAACTTATCTTGCGAGTGTGAATTATGCATCTAGCAACACCTATCTCTTTTTTACCGGACTTGTATCCTTATAAAGAATGAGTTGTATCGGAATCAGAATTGCGTTATTTACTACCAACTCTTTACTATTTTTTAAAATTAAAGTTAATTTAAAGTTAATTTAAAGTTAATTTTTTATGTACATTTCGATTATCAGTACATTAGAACGTGGTAGCTCAGGGGCTATACACTCGCTGTAAATTTCACAGAACCTGGGTTCGATTCGCATCGTCACCAACTGAATTATTGATTGCAATTTTAAAAGCTGATTTACCACGTGCTCGGCGGTGAAGAAAAACATTTTGCGGAAACCTGCATGACTGGGACATTAAAAAATACATTATGAAGACGCTTAAAGTCCGCCAACATGCGTTGTGGCATCGCGAAGGACACTACCTTGCCTTGAAACAAAAGAAACGACATCTGATCCCAGGAAGTGGAATGTATATAGGTTGTAACTTTTACTTTGTAGTATTATTATTAATATGATGAAAATTCGAAAGAAATCTATACATTCATAATACATAAATTTTTAGCATTTCTATATTTTTTTATAGAATAAAGGTGACAAATGAACACACAATCCACTTAATGGTAAAAATACCCTAGCCCTACCACATATATATACAATATGTAACGTAATTAACGCACACCCTCAGACACCCCAATTAGTATATTATTTTATAATCACAATACAAACACTGAATTTTTCGTTAAACATTTTTATGGACTGATTTTTATCAAATTAGTTATACTAATTCCGGAAGAATGTTGTGGTCACAGTACAAATCCACGAACGCAAAGACATTAATATGCTTGAAATAAAGTTCATTTTTCTTTATTTTTATTGAATGACAGACTTAGTAATAATACAAATAACGAGTGCAGTTAAGCAGTGCAGAGTGCAGTGCAGTCTGCACTGCTTCAACTGCACTCTTAAACTCAGTCTTATTGCCTTAGGTTACGGTCCATTTCCGTTTGTTTTGACTGTACAGATTTAGCGTGACTGTAATTTACGTAGTTTTAATTATTTTTGGGATAAAAAATTACCTACATTAAAATGCTAGGAATCGATTCAGTAAACGATTCTGAACAAATTACTTTCTCAAAGTGCATTAATTATGTTACATGTCTATATATATATATATATATATATATATATATATATATATATATATATATATATATATATATATATATATATAATATATATATATATATATATACATAAATTAGATAAGTACGGGATGTATGCACCACGAGTCAGGGTTAGGTGATTGGGTTCTCTCATTGCCAGTCAAGCAGACTCACAAGATTGATCAGAGGTTCTGACAGATAAAGGTGTCTTGGTCGCAGTGAGAGGAAGATCTTACCAGGAGTGTCGGCGGTATTAGCGAAGGCGTCGTCGTAGCATTTTATTTACCAGTCATTACAATTTATATATTTGCATTTAGGTTACAATTTGCGTCTTTTCTGAGATTATTCAGCAAACTATTGGTGTACGTGATTTTTGATAACGCGGTCACAGTGCATCGGCGTTGCAATGTTCAGAACTGAACATCTTGGCGTCTCTGAGGAAGAGGTTTCAGCTGGTAGAGTCCCATCGAGTCTAGCGTTGGATATGGCCGATGATCTGGGGGCGGTTGCTGCTGACTAGCACTCAGGTCTATCAGGCTGCTATGACCCATAGACATCTACATTTATCTTCAATTAAGAATTAAAATGTAGATGCGCTGTCACCCTTGAGGAATAAAATGGAATACATTAAAGCGGCCTTTCTTTTCAAATACTCTAATACGTTTAGTATCGACGGGTGAGGCTTACAAGTTACTTACCTCGTTGGTGGATCATCACAAAACCGCGGTTTTGTGTGTTGGCTCGCCAGCGATGTATCGAATTTGGCACGTTGTTCAACGAACTCTATAGAAAACTGTTTGGCCAGCCAGTGTATCAGGACCAAATTGCCTTATATCATACTAAAAAGTTAAAAATAATATCAATATAAATACAATTATTTTTATATACCGTGAAGTGGCGGGCAGAAATACACACTACCCCATATTTGTCCTTGTTCAAACACCGGGATGGCAACCATCTGTTCCAAGGAGGTGTTGGATTTATCGCCCATAAGTCTCTCCTAAATAACGATGTAAAGATTGGGAGTGTATCGACGAGAGTTCTGTACCTTACACTCAGATTCACCAAACGGTATTCACTGAAGGTCATACAGGTTTATGCGCCAACCTCGGCATATATCGATGAGGAGATGGAAGAAATGTATGAAATATATCTAGAGCCATGCATTCCTCCAAAACCCACTATACGGTGTTAGTTGGAGACTTCAACGCAAAACTAGGCACAAGAGGAAACAATGAGCTGAAGATAGGGAAATTTCCCCATGTATTTGAGTGGCCCCTTGGGGCCAGCAGCCGGACGATTTCATAGAGAAAGAGGGCCTCTTAATGATGAACTCTTTTTCTAGAAGCGGCCCCACAGAAAGTGTACTCTTCATAATGACGACCAGACGATAACTGTTCAGTGGTGTCTCAGTGATCGTGAGGGTGAAAACTAGCAGTGATTACCGAATGGTGAGAGGCACACTGAATCTAAACGTTAAGTTAGAGAGGTCTAGTCTAATAAATTAAGCCCTCGTGCTCTAATCCAAAGACCAGAAAATTTTCAGCTCGAGTTACAAAATAATTTACAGTGTTCCGAGAGCAAGTCTTCACTGATACTATTCCGATGATATTCCGGATATCAGTCTGAGTTAGAATAGAATGGCTATCCAGCATCTTAAAAACTGGGTACCGGGCAAGGATGGAATTACAGCGGAGCTTCTGAAAGTGGGTGGAAAATCGGAACTTGTCCGCCTCCAATTCAATTCCGTCCCCAATGGTGGCACTACTCCAAAGACGTGGAGCAAAAGTGCAGTCGTCTTATTCTTCAAGAAAGGCGACAATGCTCTCTTGAAGAACTACAGACCGATTTCCCTTCTGAGCCGAGTCTAAGTGCTGTTTTCGAGAGTCATTATGAATCGTCTTGCACACCGATTCGACCACTTCTAGCCTCCCTGACAAGCTGGTTTCCAAAAAGGTTTTAACACCATATACCACATACGCGTATGAAGACAATGAAAAAGCCTTTGATTCCGTCGAAATTTGGCCGGTGCTGCAGGCTCTTCAGCGATGCCACGTTGACTGTCGGTATATCGAAGTGCTGAAGTATTTCTACAGTAGGGCTACGATGACTTTCCTAGTACAGAACCAGAGTACGAAAACTATCCACCTGCAGAGAGGTGTAAGACAGGATGACGTTATATCCCCAAATCCTATGCGACCTGTAGGACCTAAACACTACGCTGAAATCTTAAAATGAACATGGACAAAACAAAGATCATGTATAATATCCAAGTCACGCCTATGCCGGTAGTTATTGGGAGTGCCAAGCTCAAAGTTGTTAACGAGTATGTTTTCTTGGGACAAACAGTCCGACTAGAAAGAAAGAAAGAAACAGATTTTATTTGGCACATGCAACACACTCAAGTGGATTACATAAAACACATAACATTTAAGTAGTCATACAAACAAAAAACAAAAAAATTATACATAGAAATCATGAAACAGGACATTCACTCCTTGTTTATAGATATGGTAAAACAAAAAAAAAAAACAAAAAAGCAAACAATAACATAAAAAAAAGATAATAATAATAATAATAATAAGGATGATGGGATCAAATGGAACGCGCAAAGGGCCGCTGCCTGGAGGTCGCCAGGGCGCGTCTGGAGCTGGCGCTGGACGCGACAGCATGCGAACCGCCAGCCGAGCGCGAGGTGCTGCACGACCACCCAGCAGCTCCTCGCATCCATCATCCCCACCAGCTGGCTTGGTGTCGGCAGGGTCTTCGCGGGCTCAGCAATCGGCACCCGCCACTGGTGGAGTACGCCGCATGCGTTGGACAACCCAGATGAACAGCAACGCATTGCGGGCGTATTTTAGGGCGAAAGGGGGAGAAACTGGAGGTTTTGCGTTCGGGCAAGGATGCATCGACTTTTTGCTGAGCTGGAGCCATCTGTGACCGTCACGAGCAAAACCTGGCAGACCGAGTTCGGTATATCTTGCGCTCAAATACATTTGATGTCACCGAAATCGAATGGCTACGACGTGAGGCTGTTCCTTCATCGGGTGAAAATGCTGCGGCTGAGGATGCGGCGCCACAACTTGCCGAGCAAACGGCAAATGTGGATGCCGCCGTGAATACGCCAGTTGTGGTTGATTCAAACGATGATGGAACAGTCGCCCAGAAACTGGAACTAGAGCAAATGAGGAGTACATTGGAAGAGGCGATTGTGGAAACGCGCAGTACGACTCTCGAAAATCGACCGCGTCTTCCCCGCTTAGCCCTAAGCAAGCGGAATCGGGCTATCGTGAGGGCTCTGAACCCAATGCTGGTTACCTATTTGGAAGCCAGCCGGGACCTTTGCGAGACGGACTCAATTCTTTTTGGCGCCGCACTGGCAGTCTGCCGTATTATAGGTGCCAAACTTTCCACGGCTGGACGCGCTACTGGACAAAGTAGTGCTATCCCAGCCTGGAGAATAAGAATTGAAGAACGTATCGCAAAGGCTAGGGCCCTCATCGGCAGACTGATATGCTTCAGGTCAGGCAATACCAGGCCAAGGATTGTGCGCACCGTCAGGATGGCGTTTGCTGGGACAAATGTTAGTTTGTCCCAGCCGGATATAATGCAAAAACTGACGGAGCGCATAGACGACCTGAAGCAAAGAATAGCTGCTTGGGGAAAGCGGATTCGGCGATATACCGAGAGGTCGACACGGTTCAACCAGAATCCTCTCTTCCAGAGTGATCAGAAGAGGCTCTATAAATCATTGGAGCGACCAATAGTAAGTGGAACGGGCCCTGCACCAAATCAGGCCGACATGGTCGCATTCTGGCGCAGCCTGTGGTCAGAGCTCGTAAACCACAACGAGGGCCCTTGGACGGAAGTTGTGGCGAGTCAGTGTGCGAGTATTACGCCCATGGACCCCGTCATCATAACGCCGGATGACGTAGCTGAGGCGGTCCGTAGGGCCCCGAACTGGAAAAGTCCGGGGCTTGACGGGCTGCATCACTACTGGCTGAAGGGGTTCATGGTGTGTCACTCTGTGCTCGCCCGACAGTTTCAAGAGGCTCTCAACCAGAAGTCGCTCCCAAGCCTCTTCACTACTGGGATCACTCATTTGGTTCCTAAAGATCAGGGTGCCACAGACCCGAGCAAATACCGCCCCATCACGTGTCTACCGACCATATACAAGACACTAACATCCATTTTGAGCGCAAGAATCGCTCGTCACCTGGACTTAAATCAGGTGATGTCGCGCGCTCAAAATGGATGTCGGGGCGGCGGTCGTGGAACCAAGGAACCACTCCTCATTGACGCGGTCATTGGCAAAGTGGTGAAACGCAACCGTCGGAACTTCTCCGCCGCCTGGATAGATTACAGAAAGGCATTTGACTCGGTGCCCCATACATGGCTAAAGAGGGTCCTCGAGCTGTACAAGATTGACTGTACAGTTCGAGACTTCCTCGAGCAGTGTATGGGGCAGTGGAGTACGATCCTCTGTCATCTAGGCGAGCGGATGACGGCTGCGGAAAGCCGCATAAGGATAAGAAGGGGTATATTCCAGGGCGACTGTCTGAGTCCAATCTGGTTCTGCCTCTCTTTGAACCCTCTCACTACTTTACTGGAGGGCTCCGGGAGGGGATTTCAGCTTCGGAAAGGAGGTACAAAAGTGACCCACCTTTTCTATATGGATGACCTTAAATTATTCGCCTCCAGTCGCTCCCATCTTATGGAATTGCTAAACATCACGTGTGAATTTAGCAATTCTATTAGAATGGAGCTGGGGACGGATAAGTGTGCGGTCCTCCATGTTGAAAGGGGAAGGGTTGCTAACTCTGAGGGCATAGACTTATCTATGCCCGTCAACTTAAGAAGGCTCCTACAATGATCAGTAACATCGACGATTTAGACTTTGTTTAAATTTAGCGACATCTACCAAAAGCAGACGTACTGCAATGGCACTACGTAAATAGTAGACAAAGATTAACGATGTATAGATAATATGACAACTTATTTGCATAATTTTTTTCGATCTCTGAGAGACCTAGTGGTGAATTGACGTATTATTCACTTTAAACCTTGTATCTGTATTCACTCCCATGTTCAGCACGGACGTTCCTACGTGACAATTTGTGAAGGTATGTGGATGACCAGGTAAGTACCAAGTGGTTTTTAGCAATGGGAATGGTTAGGAATATTTAGTTTTCAGAAACTCTCATAATCGGCATGGATGCTGCTACGTGACACTTTGTGAAGGTATGTGGATGACCAGGTAAGTACTAAGTGGTTCTCAGCAATGGAAATGGTTAGGAAGATTTAGTTTTCAGAAACTTTCATATTCAGCCAAGACGCTGATACATGATACTTTGTGAAGGTTTGTGGATGACCAGGTAAAGCAAGTGGTTCTCAGCAATGGAAATTGTTAGGAATATTTAGTTTTCGGAAACTCTCATATTCAGCACGGACGCTGCTACGTGACACTTTGTGAAGGTATGTGGATGACCAGGTAAGTACTAAGTGGTTCTCAGCAATGGAAATGGTTAGGAAGATTTAGTTTTCAGTAACTTTCATATTCAGCCAAGACGCTGATACATGATACTTTGTGAAGGTTTGTGGATGACCAGGTAAGTAGCAAGTGGTTCTCAGCAATGGAAATTGTTAGGGATATTTAGTTTTCGGAAACTCTCATATTCAGCACGGACGCTGCTATGTGACACTTTGTGAAGGTATGTGGATGACCAGGTAAGTACTAAGTGGTTCTCAGCAATGGAAATGGTTAGGAAGATTTAGTTTTCAGTAACTTTCATATTCAGCCAAGACGCTGATACATGATACTTTGTGGAGGTTTGTGGATGACCAGGTAAGTAGCAAGTGGTTCTCAGCAATGGAAATTGTTAGGAATATTTAGTTTTCGGAAATTCTCATATTCAGCACGGACGCTGCTACGTGACACTTTGTGAAGGTATGTGGATGACCATGATCCATGTAAGCAAAACCTGAGTCACCTCCGTTTGCCTAAATTAAATTAAGATTAAATAATTAGTTCATATGTTTTTTTAAAACGTGGCAATAAAATGATATTTATTTATTTATTTATGTTGCTAAGATAAATACTCTGAAGGTCTAGTGATGATCTGGCTCATATATGTAAGTGCTAAGTTAAGTAAAAGAGGAAACAAACTTTGCGTGCTTTTTTAAATTATTTTATGTTAAAAAAATACTTAAAAAAAGCACGCAATATTTGATTTAATCTTGACAGATTTAAGTCAAGATTAAATCAACCGTTGAATATTTTGTGCAAGTTAAAATTCATTATAATCTAAGTATCGTGAACAGGTTGGTTGCTCCGCTTCTGGAATTACTGGTGTTGACGAACGTGTCGATTCTTGATATAACGAAAGCGTTGTATTTTCTTCCTGCTCAGCAATTGGAATTATGCTTTGGATTTTCTTCTTGAGTTTTTTTTCTCTTCTTTTTTTTTATAGATTCTATTACATAGATTGGATTACGAATTTCCATATTTCTAGTATGTCTTGGGTCTAAAATTTCAGGCAATATACAATTTAAATAAAAATTGCATAATTTTGACTTCATTTTGTTTTCAAAAAAATCATCATCCCTGTAAATAACTTCCGTTTTCAGTGGTTGCGACTCACTGAACCATACAGCAAATACACATTTTGCTTTGCGAGTCACGTGCAACTGCCCTTGTACCTGGTAGAACCAGTTGTGATTTTTATTTATCACTAAATTACCTGATTTGTCTTTAATCCAAAAATTTACTTTTTTTTTGTAATAGCTTCCTCTAGTCCTGTCTTAAATGCCGTTATTGGACACTTAACCTCCACTATTGTTTCTTCGTCTATAATACCATCTGGTGTAGCCCCCAAATACGGAATTTCGTTATCTATATAAAGCCCACAAGGTCTTATATCCACTGCTTCTTGCATAGATAATTGTTGTAGCGCTTTTTTTCATATTCTCTTCCGTGCTGCAAAGGAACGGCATCTATATTAATTTTGTACAGCAATTGCTTTACTATATTGGCACAAATAGTATCCGGCCTCATTTTGATCACTTTGCCAAAGTTCGAAGCTGTCAACAAAGAACGTCTAAGTTCAAGCCATTCGCTAGACTCGCTTTGCAAAATGGTCTGCCGCTCAATCCATGTTCTTTCTTCTTTACTTTTTTTTAAATTGGATAAAAAAGTTTCCTTCATTAAATTAAGAACATCTTCACCCACATCCGGTTTAGAGCTTTGTTCACCATAATCTTTATTTTGAGTTATAGCGTCACACGTCTTCTGCGGCTTTTTATAATTGGCGCGTTTCTTCAAGCCTCTGAGTTTCCGATACTTATTATCGAAAGTGCTCATTCGGCCTTTAGGGCTTTTGCCTACAATCGTTTTGTACAATATTGTAGTAGGTTTTCTTTTAGTATTGAACGTAACCGCAGAAGCTGAACATCTAGCTTGATAGCCGCTTCGCAGAGAGTAATTTACTCTTTTACCCCCAACTAACTTGGCCACAATGCTGTGAAAACATTCTACGATGTTACTTTCAACATCATGAACAAGACTTCTTGAATGGTCAGCAATATTATTTATAATAAAACATATTCTCTGCCATAAAGAACTTGTGAAAAAATCCGCTGGTACAGATTCAGTTTCAGTTTGACGACGATTACAGAAATGGATTTTACAGTTGGTGTGGTTTCCGAAGGCATGTAAATGTACAGTTTGAATGTCCTCAAAAAGTTTGTGAGTGCAAAAATCTAAAGTCTCTGTAGAATCATGGTATTTTTTGATGCATTTTCTAATTGTGGACCTAATGGTCATTATGCGTTTTTTTGTAATTAATTTTCTAAGATGTATGGGATATTTTGTATCTGTGATCAAGTTTTCCAGTTTGTTACACAAGTTTCTTAAAAGGTGATTTCTGCACTCTACTTTTTCAACTGTAAATTGAGGGTAGGGTCTTGCTTCTAATATTTTAGAGTACGTGCTGGAATCTCCGTCAGATATTAGACGTCCATAAATCAGACCGTACATTTCAACAGATGATTTAAAACCTTCTACTATCAGAGTAGATTCCATGGCAGTAGATGCACCCGTGAAATTTTTGTAACATTGATGAGCTCTCGGAGTTTGATTTTTGTTACAATCTTGCGCACATATGCTGCAGTACTTATTTTTAACACCGAGGAACAAAATTTTTTTTCGTTTCTCTTCCGATTATGGCAGCAGCTCCTGAAAGTGCTGAGTAATTCTTTTTATATGATCTCTTACTCCAGCATCCATCAGCAATAACATCTATAATAGGTATGCCACCAGTGGTTACACGACCTTTTTCTAAAGCAATCCTTTTTTCTTCTTCTGCGGCTTCTTGCATGGATTGACCAAGTGCTTTTTCCCAGGCGTTAGAAACAAACTCATGCTGTTTTTGGTACAGAGGCTCAGTCATCATAGGTAAATCGATTGCTGATAGTAATTCATCTAATTGTGAGTAGCCAATACCAACAGAAACTGCACCGGCAACCACAGCTGTATTTATGTCCAGATCACCGGAGACAATATACTTTTCTTTACACGTCGATGCACCAGCGACTGATTCTGTATTTTTTTTCAGATCACCTGGGATATTATTTAATAAAAACTTTCCTTTACACATTAAACATTCTAGAGTAAACTTGGATGACAGTCCAACTCGTTTCTCTCCAACAATTTTTAAACTTTGTACTCCACAGTTATATGGGCTATGATTGCTGATTTCTTGTAATTTTGAAAAAAAGTATTTTATATCAACAATTCGTCTGCCAGATATATTTCTTTTTCCTGTTTCTGGTTGATCCTTTTCAATAATTAATTCCGGTAAAATGTTATCTTGTTGTTGCTGAGAACAAAATAATTATCATGTAATACATTGCTAAATTCATATACAAAAAACTTCCGTCTCATATATTATCTTGTTAAATAATATCTTGCTTATTTTTACTGACCATATAGGATAGGATTTCTCGAATTTTATGAGTTCTCAGACTTTTCGGTTTCCTCAGTACGTATTTATTTACCAAAAACGAATGGTTATTAATGCGCAATGGGGACCCGGAGTCAAAGTTCAATTTAACAACATTAAAAATAGACTGGCACTCTTAATTGTAAAAAATAGCTACCGTAATATCTGGCAACGGAATCTCCTCATCAACTGCAACACCGAACGGAACGTGAGTTTTTGCAATAGTCGTAGATGAATGTAATGCATTAGATTCAGTTGACGGATCTTTGCCCAGATTTTCTGAATGGAATTTCCGCTGATTTCTCAATTGCCTAAAAACATAAAGTTACATTAAAAATATTATCGCAACAGTCACTCTCAACAAAAGAGTACAATAAAAGCATTTTCACAAAAGGTAAGTAAAATTATCACAGACAGCTAAGTGTGAGCTCTTTCAAATGCCCTTTAAAATGAGTACAAAAACGATGGTACTACGTGGTTCCGTCACTGAGATCCTGTACCCACCTTTGGACTACTTTGGAGTGCAGCATCAGGTAAATGAAATCATCACGGCCAGCTAGTTAGCTGCGAGCCCTTTAAAATGAGCACAAAAACGATGGTACTACGTGGTTCCGTCACTGAGATCCTGTACCCACCTTCGAACTACTTCGGAGTGCAGCATCGGGTAAGTGAAATGATCACAGACAGCTAGGTGGCTGCGAGCCCTTTAAAATGAGTACAAAAACGATGGTACTACGTGGTTCCGTCACTGAGATCCTGTACCCACCTTTGGACTACTTTGGAGTGCAGCATCAGGTAAATGAAATCATCACGGCCAGCTAGTTAGCTGCGAGCCCTTTAAAATGAGCACAAAAACGATGGTACTACGTGGTTCAGTCACTGAGATCCTGTAGCCACCTTCGGACTACTTCGGAGTGCAGCATCAGGTAAATGAAATTATCACAGACAGCTAGTTAACTGCGAGCCCTTTAAAATGAGTACAAACACGATGGTTCTACGCGGTTCCGTCACTGAGATCCCGTACCCACCTTCGGACTACTTCGGAGTGCAGCATCAGGTAAATGAAATTATCACAGACAGCTAGTTAACTGCGAGCCCTTTAAAATGAGTACAAACACGATGGTTCTACGCGGTTCCGTCACTGAGATCCCGTACCCACCTTCGGACTACTTCGTAGTGCAGCATCAGGTAAATGAAATCATCACGGCCAGCTAGTTAGCTGCGAGCCCTTTAAAATGAGCACAAACACGATGGTTCTACGGGGTTCCGTCACAGAGATCCTGTATTCACCTTCGGACTACTTCGGAGTGCAGCATCCGGTAAGTGAAATAATCACAGACAGCTAGGTAGCTGCAAGCCCTTTTAAATGAGTACAAAAACAATGGTACTACGTGGTTCCGTCACTGAGATCCTGTACCCACCTTCGAACTACTTCGGAGTGCAGCATCAGGTAAGTGAAATCATCACAGCTAGCTAGGTAGCTAGCTGCGAGCCCTTTAAAATGAGCACAAAAACGATGGTACTACGTGGTTCCGTCACTGAGATCCTGTACCCACCTTCGGACTACTTCGGAGTGCAGCATCAGGTAAATCAAATTATCACAGACAGCTAGTTAACTGCGAGCTCTTTAAAATGAGTACAAACACGATGGTTCTACGCGGTTCCGTCACTGAGATCCCGTACCCACCTTCGGACTACTTCGGAGTGCAGCATCAGGTAAATGAAATTATCACAGACAGCTAGTTAACTGCGAGCCCTTTAAAATGAGTACAAACACGATGGTTCTACGCGGTTCCGTCACTGAGATCCCGTACCCACCTTCGGACTACTTCGTAGTGCAGCATCAGGTAAATGAAATCATCACGGCCAGCTAGTTAGCTGCGAGCCCTTTAAAATGAGCACAAACACGATGGTTCTACGTGGTTCCGTCACAGAGATCCTGTATTCACCTTCGGACTACTTCGGAGTGCAGCATCCGGTAAGTGAAATAATCACAGACAGCTAGGTAGCTGCAAGCCCTTTTAAATGAGTACAAAAACAATGGTACTACGTGGTTCCGTCACTGAGATCCTGTACCCACCTTCGAACTACTTCGGAGTGCAGCATCAGGTAAGTGAAATCATCACAGCCAGCTAGGTAGCTAGCTGCGAGCCCTTTAAAATGAGCACAAAAACGATGGTACTACGTGGTTCCGTCACTGAGATCCTGTACCCACCTTCGGACTACTTCGGAGTGCAGCATCAGGTAAATCAAATTATCACAGACAGCTAGTTAACTGCGAGCTCTTTAAAATGAGTACAAACACGATGGTTCTACGCGGTTCCGTCACTGAGATCCCGTACCCACCTTCGGACTACTTCGGAGTGCAGCATCAGGTAAATGAAATTATCACAGACAGCTAGTTAACTGCGAGCCCTTTAAAATGAGTACAAACACGATGGTTCTACGCGGTTCCGTCACTGAGATCCCGTACCCACCTTCGGACTACTTCGTAGTGCAGCATCAGGTAAATGAAATCATCACGGCCAGCTAGTTAGCTGCGAGCCCTTTAAAATGAGCACAAACACGATGGTTCTACGTGGTTCCGTCACAGAGATCCTGTATTCACCTTCGGACTACTTCGGAGTGCAGCATCCGGTAAGTGAAATAATCACAGACAGCTAGGTAGCTGCAAGCCCTTTTAAATGAGTACAAAAACAATGGTACTACGTGGTTCCGTCACTGAGATCCTGTACCCACCTTCGAACTACTTCGGAGTGCAGCATCAGGTAAGTGAAATCATCACAGCCAGCTAGGTAGCTAGCTGCGAGCCCTTTAAAATGAGCACAAAAACGATGGTACTACGTGGTTCCGTCACTGAGATCCTGTACCCACCTTCGGACTACTTCGGAGTGCAGCATCAGGTAAATCAAATTATCACAGACAGCTAGTTAACTGCGAGCTCTTTAAAATGAGTACAAACACGATGGTTCTACGCGGTTCCGTCACTGAGATCCCGTACCCACCTTCGGACTACTTCGGAGTGCAGCATCAGGTAAATAAAATCATCACAGCCAGCTAGGTAGCTGCGAGCCCTTTAAAATGAGTACGAAAACAATGGTACTACGTGTTTCCGTCACTGAGATCCTGTATCCACCTTCGGACTACTTCGGAGTGCAGCATCAGGTAAATGAAATTATCACAGACAGCTAGTTAACTGCGAGCCCTTTAAAATGAGTATAAACACAATGGTTCTACGCGGTTCCGTCACTGAGATCCCGTACCCACCTTCGGACTACTTCGGAGTGCAGCATCAGGTAAATGAAAATATCACAGCCAGCTAGGTAGCTACGAGCCCTTTAAAATGAGTACGAAAACAATGGTACTACGTGGTTCCGTCACTGAGATCCTGTACCCACCTTCGGACTACTTCGGAGTGCAGCACCAGGTAAGTGAAATCATCACGGCCAGCTAGTTAGCTGCGAGCCCTTTCAAATGAGTACAAACACAATGGTTCTACGTGGTTCCGTCACTGAGATCCTTAACCCACCTTGAGACTGAGTTCAGGACTGTAGCATCAGACCAGCCAAAAATGGTCACTTTCATATTATTTTACACTTTTTCACTGGGCGTTTTTGTAGTACCAAGCTTATTTATGGCTAAAGAAATTCCGCACCTATACAATAGAAGGGAACACGACAGTTTTCGGAACGCTGCCGTACCCTGTATTTACGCAAAAGAAAATATATCAAGGATAATTTACTTACCAATAGTTTTGAAGAGCTTGGCCACGCTTCACTTTTGACTTGCTTTTGTATTTCGGCATTGTCAAGCTTAGTCTATTCTATGATACGATTATATACAAAACTAAAACTAAAAACAATTTTACTAACATAAATCAACTTAATTCCTAATTTTTTATCATATATTACTTATGTACGTTTTATTTACAATAAATCTGTTTTTATAAATTTGAAATATTGCGAACTTTTTAATATTTTTTTTAAAAAATAACGCGCGCACAGTCCACCCGTCGCAAGAGTCAAACTGACACTGGTGAATATCCGTAACGGGCCATACCGGGGGAGCTTCGGGTGGCGAAAAGGGTCCAAATTATGTTTTACTATATTTTAAGAAATATATTTAACAAAAATACAATAAAAACAATACATTTTTTTTATTATGATTTAACAAATATTTTAATATAAATTTAATCTTAAACTGTTGAGCCGTTCTTGAGAAAAAATACAAAATAGATTTAAAATAGCCTTTGTATTTGATTTTTTATTGTAATAATGGTCAAATATTCTTGAATTTTAAACAATACAAATGAACTGTGACGATCTAAACTATAAAACATATTTTTTTTGTAGCAAATAAACAAAAGGATTCGGCTATAACTTTTTGTAAACCTGGGCGTTTTTCACGATTTGAGCAATGTAGAAGCCTTAAGAACCCTTTCCGAGGCTGAAACATACCGATACCTGGGTATGTCACAGAACATCGGTATCGATGAGGCTGGTATGAAACAGTCAGTTTGCGACGTGTTTTATGCACGCTTGACCAAAGTGCTTAACAGCCTTTTGTCCGGTGTGAATAAGGCACACGCATATAACGGTTGGGTCATGCCTGTCCTCATGTATACCTTTGGCATACTCAGGTGGACTCAGACTGAACTTAACGCCCTGGATAGAAAAGTCCGCACTACCATGACGTCCCATAGGATGCATCATCCGAGATCGTCGGTAATGAGGCTGTACTTGCCGCGGAAGCATGGTGGTCGTGGCTTCTTGAGCGCGCTCACCATGCATAATCGCGAAGTGTGCAGCCTCCGTGATTACTTCCTGGCGAGATCGGATGATCCATTCTATAAGGACGTCATTTCTTGTGATAAAGGACTTACCCCTCTATCCTTAGCCAACGAGCAATGGCAAGACCCGGCAGTGCAGAGCATTTCCGACCGGGAGACCGTATGGAAGGAGAAGGAGCTCCACGGGAGGTTCTACAAGGCTCTACATGAGCCTTTCGTAGACACAGTAGCCTCCCTCCACTGGCTACGCTTTGGTGATCTCTTCGGGGAAACCGAGGGTTTTGTCTGTGCAATACAGGATCAGGTTATTAAGACCAACAACTATCGGAGATACATCCTAAAGGATGGCACCGTCGACATCTGTCGAGCTTGTCGCCATCCCGGTGAGTCACTTAGGCATGTTATCTCCGGTTGTTCTGTGCTTTGTAACTCTGAGTACATGCACTGGCACAATCTAGTAGCCAGGATTCTACACCAGGAACTCGCTCTGAAATACGGTCTCGTGGATCGGAAATTGCCGTATTACAAGTACTTGCCGGAAGCCGTGCTCGAAAATGATCGTGCCAGGCTCTATTGGGACCAGGCCATTATCACAGACAGGACTATTCTTGCGAATAAGCCTGATATTGTGCTGATGGACCGGGCACAGTCAAGGATATTTTTGGTCGACATTACCATTCCGTATGACGAGAACCTCGTGAAAGCCGAAACAGACAAGCAAACAAAATATCTGGACCTGGCTCACGAGGTGACCGACATGTGGGGTGGTCTGCCGACCGAAATTATTCCTGTAGTCGTCTCTGCAAACGGGCTAATCCCAGTCAGCCTCTCGGGTCATCTGAGGCGGCTGGGACTACGTGGCGGACCGCTCCAGGTTCAAATGCAGAAGGCGGTGCTCCTCGATACCGCCCGCATCATTCGCCGGTTTCTTTCCCTTTCCCCCTAACCCTCGGCCGTTTGGTCTCCCCTGCCGAGGGCCTCCATCTGGTTGGGTTTTTACTTATTTATGTACTTTTATATTTATTTTATGTTATTGATATTTATGTATATTTATCTTTTCATTTTCATTTATAATTATATATTTATAGCACCCAACCAGATGAGAAAACTATATAGATACCCCACAATAATAATAATAAAGAACTAGAGAATAAGGAGTAATGCATAAGGTGTATTACAAAGATAATCCACCCGTTAATGCTCTGCTCCAAAAAGGAAAGCCACTCAGGATATGTCGGAATGTATCAGAAGTACAACACCCCAACCCTGATTTACAGTGGCACCCTTATATATTTAAATTAAAATTACACAAATAAATATAAAAAATATATACATATATTATATATTCTTTTTGTGCAGAGGGCAGTTCTGTTGTGTTAAACCAAATATAATAACAAAAATTTATTTCTTGTAATATTGTCACAATTCTTATAAAATATTCTTAATACTTTAAGAGGTTGCATTGAAATTCACTCAGGAACGTAATTAAGTTTAAGCTACAAACAAATACACAAACCAGCTGCAGTACACCGCTTCATTACATAATTCAATAAATAATATATACATACTCAAACACACACACATATACATATATATATGTATTTACATATATATACATAAATATAAACAAGCACACATACATACACATATACACGCTCATACATTATTTATAAAATTACTATCAAAATATCTGCACTACTTAACTTTGAGATTGCTGATCTAAGAGGAACAATTTAAATTTTTGACGGAAGCTATGTATCGATTGCTGCATATCGAAAACTGCCTCGAAACGCAGCGGTGCGGTGTTGAGGCAGAAGCAACAAGCTCTTGTCACTACATTTGTTAAGACGTTGTCTCGAGCCTAGCGCAATTTTTCATAGAGATAAGACGGCGTCCTGTATTTTATACAACCAAACAACAGCGTAGCAAAATGCAACTGCCAGCGGTAATCCATTTTGAGCATTTTCGCATTATTAATGTAAGGTGTAACATAACTAGGTAAGTCCAACTTCGACCGAGAGGTCAACCGACGGATTCGACTGGGCAGCGTTCGGGATATCACGACACATTTTCTCGTCAGGTATACTTTAAAACTTGAAAAGGGGATGGTACAACCAGGGCGTGTTGCTAGTGATAACTTATGGATCTGAGACGTGGTCCTTCACTGCTGGCTGTATGAACAAGGTCAAAGTCGCTCAGCAAGTTATGGAGAGAGCAAGAGCGTAATAAATCTAGTAATGAGGATTTCCGCAGTAGAACCAGAGTGACCACACCGACATAGCCCAACGGATTAGTAAGCTGAGCTGGCAATGGGCCGGCCGTATAGCTCGAAGAATGGACAACCGAAGGTGAGAAAAGGTTCTCGAGTGGTAGCCTCGTACCGACAGGCGACGTGTAGGGTGACCCCTCCCCACTAGATGGAGTGACGACCCGGTAAGACATGCAAGAAGTCGATGGATGCAGGTGGCTCATAAACGTGCTTTGTGGCATTCCTTGGAGGAGGCCTCTGTTCACCAGTGGACTGCTGAAGGGCTGTAATGATGATGATGATAATGATATTATTTTTAAAATAAATTTTAAATATTATGTGTATTGCGTACATAACCTGAATAACATTTAAATTAAATGTTAAACGCTTGTACCGAATTCTGTACGCATAAGTTAAAGTTTTTATTACCTGTGTGTTCATATTAATATTTTTATGATTGTAAAATTTTCTCGAATAACCTGTGACGATAGAAATTCAAGCGTTACTGCAACTAATTGTAGTACGAATTATAATTGAGTTTAGATTTATTTTACTACACTACGTTATCAATACAAGAAAATAATTAGAGTAAATAAAGTGTTTAGAGGTTATTAGTTTTATAAAAATATTATATTTTTATATTTTTATTTGTACTACCTATAAACTCCGAAGCGGCTGGACCAATTTCGAAGAAATTTTCAGGAGATTGTCAGATTGGCCTAGCGGGTGAGCTTGTGAAGTTTGGTAGCGATCGGATCAACAGAACTTTTTTTGCAATGTCTGACAACAGAAGATAATTTCATCTGAATTTGAAGAATTTCTAAAACAATGGGAACTTTGGCTCCCTACCATACTGCCAATAATGCCAGGCTGAAAGATTTGTACAAACTATTAAGACCTCTTAAAAGCATGGAAGAAGTTGTGATGATACACATTACAAAATACTCAATAATTTTTTTTTGTTTTAAAAGAATATTAACAATGCTGTAAACATTACTAATATTCCCCTTAACCACTCGTGGTAAGCTTAAATTGCTTGTGTTACGCCAGTAGTCTAATGGCGGATTCGAACCCACGACCTTTTTGAGTTCGCAGTCTACGCCCTGCCATTAGGCTACTGTCGCTTCACTATGCATTCGATGGCCGCATGTATGAAAGATCAGCACTTGAGCACGGCTGAACTGATTTTGATGAGTTTTTCTGTGCGTGTTTGGATGGGTCCCTGAATGGTTGAAGGCAGACGAAGTGAAAGCCGGGCGAAGCTGGTGCGGATCGCTAGTTATTAAAATAAATGTAAATTTAGTTTTATTATACTCCAACTCTTTTTTTTTTCGTAGGATAGTTGCGCAAGGGAATTCGTCCTCCTCAATACGTTCTATGAGTTTCACAAGGGCCGATTATGATAAAATACAAAAAGACAACAGGTCAGGCTAAGATTGCTGTATATCTTTTCGTACTGGCCATATAGAAAAAAGGTTCTCGAGGTGCAGCCTCGTACCGGTAGGCAAAGTGTAGGGTGAACCCCCACTAGATGGAGTGACGACCTGGTAAGATATACACAAAGTCGATGGATGCAGGTGGCTCAGGACCGTCCTTTAAGGCATTCCTTGGGTGATTGAATGATGATGATGATGATATAGAAAATACTCGGCCAGGGACGGGTTAAAGTTGCGAAACACCTGTTACTGCGATCGCCAATCCGCCTGCTCAGCGTAGCGATTACAGCGAATCTTTTTATTAGTATAAGTCATTCAACATGATCATAATT